CCATCATAATCCCATGTCCCTCATCCTTTTCCTTACCCTCCCCCAGCTTCAATTTATTTCCTTTAAAATCTATTTTTACATGTTTATTTGCTTTTTAAGAAGTCTCGGCTGCTTGACTTTCTTTTCCCCTTTCCCCTTGGCCAGCTAGAATTCCCTCTTTGTTGGGGTCTCTTTTGTGTCAGTCTTTGGTGAGGGGGAGGATGTAGGTAAAGCTACTGCTCCAATATCCTTAAAGGGTGCCCGACTTAAAGCGACTTCCATACCATTAGAACATGGCACCCTCTAGTATAATTTGCCCAGCCGAGTCTGAAACACACCGACCCTCTGTGACCCTCAGGCCAAGCATGCAAGGAGCCTGGGATCCCCCACCTTAGGCAGCTCTGCCTACCCTCTTCATTAGGAAACTTAATTAGTGCTCAATTTTACAATGACCTGACCCCAACGGAATGAAGGGGCCGCAGTGCTGAGAAGGTTGACCATGGGCATCCCCATTCAGACAGCTAGTGTTTTACTTGTCCACTGTTTGGAGGTAATTGATGCCATGCTGCTTTCATTGGTGGGCATATTCAGAGCCAATGGAATGAAAGAATCCCCCCTAATATGCAGATACATGTTTCCTAAGTAGGAATTTGAGTTTTAGAAACTCATTTAGAACAATGCATTGGCAATTGCAGGCAACCCCTGGAATCAAGAAATTTGGGTAATTTCCAAAGATCGGAGGAAATCTCAAAAGTATTCTTTTCGTCTGCCTCCCTCTAACTTATATCTGGCAGCCTCCCACTTGGGGAACACTGCAGACACGACAAACCATGACTCTGACCCCAGGGCTTGCCTCTTGCGGCAGCCTTGGCTCCTACATGGCTAACAATCAATAATAACCATTATTGTTGTCATTTACTGAGCACCTGCTATATGCCAGTATTAAGCATTAAATGTGCACAAAGACCTCACAAAAGCCTTTGAAGCAGGTGTTATTATCCTCATTTTACAGGTGAAGAAACTGAGGCTCAGAGAGGTTAGGTAACTTCCCAAAGTCATGCTGCTAAATAACTGGCAGAGCCAGTTCTGATGCCAAACCTTTCATCTGACCAGCATGCCACCCAGCCTTTGAGGTTTTGCCGCCCTGAAGTAGCACCATGGAAACCCCTCAGCATGAGATGATAGCCTTGTATAGAGCGGGGGTGGGGGGGTGGTTCCAGAAGACTCCCCAGGGTGCACTCGGGCCCCCTTTTAAAGAAACAACAGATGAACATTCAAACTCAAATTCATACAAAGGTGATGCTTCCGTTTTAAAAACAACTCCTCACAGCCCTCTTTGAATGGAGAAAGGCCCTGACACATACAAATTTGGATCTTATAAGAGAGATAATGTTTACTGAAGTTTTTCAGAAACAAATGAATTCCTTGAACTGGCTTGCCCACATACAAATAGCCATCTATGGCTTCCGACCAGGATGGCACAGAGACACACCTAGAATGGAAGGACCTGGCTGAGAAGCAGGGACCACCCATGATCCCTGCACATGCATGTACATAATGCACATGTGCACACACATAAACACACATTCATACATGTACACACATAAGTACATACCCATACGCACTCATACATGCACACAGAAGCATATAACCACATACACATACATGCACATACATATACACACATACCCACACACTCATACATGCACACAGGTGTACACACATGCTTAAGCACATACATACACACACTCGTATATGCTGTGTTGATGCACACATACACATACACACACCCCAGGACTCTAAATAAAATACCTTGCCTCCTAATAGAATATCAAAGGGATGAAAACCAGTTGGGACAAAAAGTTGTTAGCCTAAAGCCTTTCAAAAATGGACCCTCAAAGAGAGAAGGAAGTCAGTCCCTCAGTTGCTCTGCTCATCACAGACCCACCCTGGGCCCAGTGTTAGCAGAAGTGACCACTGGAGGCTCCAGCTCTGAGCCCTACTGCTTAGCGGGGTGGAGGTGGGTCCTGACCCCAAATCCTATCGGGGAGAATATCCTAATTGAGAGAGTCTATTTTTCCCTCTTTTTTTCATTTTTCTGTCTCTAACCTTAACACATGGATGATCCTAAAGTTTTGATGTTATTTTTTTTTTTCTTGGACTAAACCATTATTTACAGGGGGAGAGGGGGAAGAAAGGCTCTAGAGGGCCTAAAGGGGATAAGGGAGACCAAGGAGCGCCTGGATTAGATGCCCCCTGCCCGTTGGTATGTTTTTCTTTATTGCTTGCATTGTTCTGGTTTTTTCCTTGAGGTTTGCAAGTTGGAAACAAAGAAGGCAAATCAACTAAGATGAAAACCCACTGACCACACTGAGGCTACCAAAATCTGCCTGTCCGTTTGGTCAGTGAAATTCTGCCTGCTGCTGGCTTGCCTTAAAACCACAGCTGCAGATAATTCCGGCCAAATCCCCTTCCTTTGAAGATTCAAAAACAATTGATGTGTGGAAGGGGAAGAGACCGGGAGGAGAAGGATTTTCCAGGAGGAGACCTCGGCTCTGAGCTCCAGGCTGACTTTGGAAGCCAGTGTGGCATTTGGGATTCACGGATTTGCCTTCTTCACTTGGTGGCCACCTCTGCTGGATGGCCAGCCGTTCAAGCCATCTGAATCCTCATGGGTCAGGATGCAGGACCTGGGGTTAGCATCTCCAGAGGCCACCTATGCTCAGAAGTGGGCAGAACAAGACAGCCTCCCAACACCCAGCAGCCACCCACCTAAAATCTTTAAAGCTTCAGACCAAAATCTGTAGAAAGACACCCACGGGAAGCCTTTCCCACAAAAACAACAATAAAAAAGAAAAAAAAACAGTTGTTGTCGAGTCGACCCCAACTCATGGCAACGTCATGTATGTCAGAGTAGAACTGTGTTCCATAGGATTTCCAACGGCTGATTTTTTGGAAGTAGATCACCAGGCCTTTCTTCCAGGATGCCTCTGGGTAGACTCAAACCTCCAACCTTTCAGTTAGCAGGCGAGGGCATTAAGCGTTTGCACCACCCAGGGACTCCAAACAAAGCAATCATTAATTCTTTGTGCCGCATCTGCTGGGCCTCTCGAGTGCCTTTTCAATCCATTTGAAGGTTCTGAAAATTATGGTGCACTCAAGTTGAAACGTATCTGTGTTTACTCTGAGTGAATTTTTGCACGGAGAGGAGGCTGATGGCACCATGTTCAGAAGCTGAACTCTCCAGGAAGCCAACGAAAACACAAAGGTGGAGTTTGGGAGATGGGGGTCCACTGTTGGTAGATGCCTGAAGAGTCCTGCATCCTGGCCAGTGTAGGACTGGGCCTCTCTACTCCATGGATGGATGGAGCTGGCCAGCCTTGACTTCAATAACCCCCATGGTTGGTTTTGTGAACAGGGACACCGAGGTTTTAAAGGAGAGAAAGGGGAGCCGGGGTTACCAGGGCTGGACGGACTGGATGCCCCATGCCCATTGGTATGGCATCACACCCCCTTTCCTGCATGGCTGATTCGGGCATCCCTACCTGTGTGGTTCGTACCTGCATGCCTCTCCAGCCTCCACCCATCCACCCTCTACTCCCTGCTTGTTCTCCCTGTGGACACCCAGGGCCACCCTGCCTTGACTGCTTCTCAGGGGCCCCAGCCATGCTGCCCTTCTGCATGCAGTTTGCCAGTATGTTTCCATGGCTTCCTTCTGTACCTGCTTCAGAAGCTCCTTACCTTAACGTGAGCCGACCCTCCTCAGCCCAAAGCAGCTTTGGCTACATCTGATCCTCATTTCAGAATTGCTTCTAGACAAATCTGCCACCAGAACTCACACTAGGGAAGGAGATTCTGTGGACAGGTTCTTAGAACTGTGACTTCTCCTCCTTGGCACAATGCAGTTAGCTTAACAAGCAACAGCTGAGCGCCTGGCAATTGCTGAAGTGTTGAGGGGACCCTGGGGTGCCTGGGTCAGCCCCTCGTACCACCACCCTTCCACACTGTCATGACTTGGCAGGGGACAGATAGGCACACTCGTAAACATTGCTGGGGGAGACAGAGAAGTTCTGTGACTGCGAGAGAGGAAGGGGGCCACGCTGCCTCTTCTCCCAGCTGGGGTCTGGGGTCAGTGCCCTGGAGACACCAGCAGAACTGGGGGGGTTTTTAGATCCTAAAGGGTTCGTCCTTTTTGCTTAAATCCCAGAAGACAGCACAAGACCCTTTCCTTGGCTTCCTGTTCGTTCATCTGCAGATGGTTCAGCACTGCAAGTCTGGAAGAGAATGAAAAGGTTGAGAATGTAGTTATGGAGAAGAGAGGAGACCCGTCTTCCAAGCCTGTCCCAGGCCTAAGTGGGGACCATTTTGTTCCCACGTGGCCCAGTCCATCTCTAGGCCAGTCGTTCCTGCTTATTGCAAGGGAGGCAGGAGAGGACGCTTCATTGGCAGCAGAAGCAATGGGCTCAGGACGGTCTTGCTCTCCTTCGATTTCCCCAGTAGGTGTGGAGCTCATGAAGCTGTTGTCATACCAGCAATAGTCAGATTAGAACTCATGCCTCACACCCCCTTGCAGAGCTCCTTGAAGGGGACTAGGGACTTTTTAGGACCAGCATGTACAACCAGAGGAGGGCACAGAGCAAGCACGCAGAGCAGCATGCTTCCTGTCCCCACTATAAGGCACTGTCCCCACCCCCACCGGCCAGGCCTGCCCCCGGCAGACAGCATGGGCATATTTCTCCACTGTGGGACCTCGCAGGCCCTGCTCAGAGCCCTCGTTAATCCTCAGCCGGCTGTTCCCTCTGCCACTTTCTTCTGCAGCATCTCCTTCCCACCACCTGAGCACCTTTCCTTGGGCTCTGGCCTCCCTCCTCCTCCACACCTAACCTTCCGTTCTCCTCTGCCTGTCCCGACCTCCACCGTCCGCCTCCACCATCCACGTGCCAATGGGAATGCCACTGGGCCAGCGGGGCTCCTCTTCCTTCCAGAGTCCGTGTGAAGTGTGTGCGACGCGGGGCTGGGAAGGGGGCAGAGAGTCGTCCTGAAACCGTGGAAGCGCCACCTTCCCTGCAGTCCCCTCCCCGACCCAAAGGGGAACACGAAGGCCACCCTTGTTTGTTTAACCCTTAATGCAAAGTGACATTTCCTTCAATAACATCCCGTATCGATGTGTCATTTGTCTATTGATTTTGTTGTAGAAGTGTACATATCATCCCTGTCTTGGTTCCCATTGTTTTTGTTTCCCTGGTCTCCATGTTGGGTTATTGTGTATGTGGGGGCAGGGGAGGTATGGATCATAGGTTTAAGGTAACTAGACTTTTTCCACCCTCCGTAATGGGGCCACTGCCTGCCACGCAATGGGAGGGTCAGGTGCCTGTCACCGGGGCATTAATTGGTCCCCATTCAACCTCCCTTGGGACTGACCTGAAACCTGTGTCCCCTGGAAACCTGTATCCATGTAGAATCTCTTTCTCTGCCCTGGAGCCTGGAATTCAAGACACTGGGGGCAGCTCTGGTCCATTGGGACTGAGTATCAGATCTTTGCCCTTGGATCAACATTGCCCTCACTTTGTCTCACAAAGATGTCTAGGTTTTTCAGAGACCAGGCTATTAGGGCCGAGCAGACTGAGGAAGGTTTCCATCACCATAGGCAGGACACTATGGATGCTCGGTGGTTGCCACCAACAAAGGGGACAAACAGCAAGCAATCGATCCCATCTCTGCTACTACATTTTGCCCCCAAATTCCCAGCAACGTCTAAGGCTATGCCAGAAGCCCTGTCTTCTTGCTGAAGACACCTCAGGGCCATGTTGCAAATCCCATGAGTTTGCCTGTCCCTTTGCACCTTCCCCCACCCAGTACTGATGATCCGATAAGGACTGTCTAGATTTCCTCCTTCCACTGCTAAATAAAAGAGAAAAATAAGAGAATAGGAGACCTGGGAGATAGCTTAGAGGTCACCTAATACAATTGCCTGTTCCTCGGGCTTCACAGAGGGAGAAACTGAGGCCCCCAAGTGCTGACTTAGCCAGGAGCACCCCCCACCAGTGGGTCTCCCAGGCTGCTCTTTCCACGGCATTCAAGGCCGCCTCTGCTTGCTGATCCTGCAGGCTAGGAGAGCGCCCCCTTGGCCTCACACTGTGGCTCCATGTGACCTTAGCCAATGGGAAGAGAGCAGACGTGTTTCCCACCTCCTTCCCAAGCTCCGACTTGAGGTAGAGAAAAGAAATAGGCAACAGTGGGTGGACCACATCCCTCTCAGCTGCCATGTGTGTGGCCCTTGTTAGCCCTGTCCTGCTCGGTGGGTCAGCCTCTGAGAGTCTCAGCCTCTTGCCTTCCTTCCTCCCTGCAGGGTGAAGATGGTCTACCAGTCCAAGGCTGCTGGAACAAGGTAAGGTTCCCAGGGGTTTGCATTGCCTTGGGGCAGAGATGTACTTGGGACTCCATTTCGTTAACAATGCCATAAAGCACACAGAATGTCCATTCTGGGCCTTTCTGCAGATGAGGCAAGACATGGGTCTTAAAAGGAACTATCTCAATGACAAGTGCCCATTAAACATCCCATGCTTGGCCACACTGGGAAAACATACAAAAATGCTTTTTAAGGCATTACCAAACCCCAGTGTATGGAATTTCCATGTGGCCACACGGGTGACATCTTTAGGTTTTGTGTGGTTAATTTATACAGTACCCTTCCTCCAAGGAGTTCCAAACTATGTTTTAAAGTTAAACTATCAATACTTTAGTTAAATAAAACTATCAATGAGCTACTGTCATAGTGTACGGTACACATGAGGTCATTTAAGCCATATGATGACATTTATACACGTGTAGGAAGGCTAAGTTGCTTAAATCATAAACTCACATGGCTCCAGTGCCTCCACATGGAGACGGTCCAGCTCAGCACTCTACCCTTGCCCTTGAACTTAAGCTGTCAGAGCTTCATGCTTTCACACATGTAATTTGCAGTACAACTTCTCTTGGGTTCCCAGAATTCCTGCCAACATTGAGTTTTCATTTATTCACACTTGACTTGGCATTGGCCGTCACTAAAGCAGTCTGAAGCCAGAGAGCTGTACACTATTCAGCCATAGCCCTCCAAAGCACAGGGCTCCCCAGCGTGACGAGTCCAACTTGGTCCCAACAAAAGTACCAGCTGCCTTGATTCACCACTGGTAACCTCCCCCTTGGAGATTTCACCAACCCTTCTCCCCAGTGGTCTCGGGGTGTTGGTTCATTCTTATAAAAGGGCTGGAGAGGAGACCCCAACCAGTTCAAGAGTTTGTGCTTAGCTAATTCAGTCCTATCCCAGTGACCACAGAGTTACACTAACAATGAGATAGATAAGCAACTTTCTGCTAAGATGCTCAGAATCTCTTTCGTTCGTGGGATTGGATGAAAGTAGGGGAACAGCCAAGAGACCAGGCACTAGGTTGAGTACCCCCTGGCCCCTATAGTGCCCCCAACCAGAGGATGGAAAAGCTTAATCCTCAAGGGAGGTGTCTCCGCTGAATCTGCCCCTCAAGCCTCTTGTTGAATTCCACCCTAGACCTAGTTAAAGCTCTACAGAAGCAGGTAAAAGATGTGTCAAATAAGACCCCAACTCCTTGCCCACTAAGAAAAAGATATTCTTCAAGGTTGCTGCTGATGGTTAGGAGATAGAAATGGTTGAGCTTATCAGAAGAAGAACAGCCACTATCAAGAACTACAGTGTCTTAGAGCCACTAGAGAGCCTCATGCCCAGAAATTCGGTCTGGGAAGATGCATGATTAAACAGCCTGGCCTCCATAGGAAGCATAGAGAGAAAGCGCCCTCTAGTGGCCAAGCAAGGAGTCACTGGAAGGTGAAAGCTTCGTTTCCCACCCTCAGGGTGCTTAGAGTCAGGACCATTTCTTTGACACAGAGGTTCCCCCAGAACCCAACCAGAGCTCCCATCCATACCAGGACAAGATCTCCCTCCTTTCCTACAAGGGAAATAAACTAACTCTGTGTTGTTTTATTTCTGTTTTCTTTGCAGTGATGCCTCTAACCTTGGATTGGCCTGTGTGTGTGTTTGTACATAGAATATTTATTTTTATACAGTTTTCAGTTTTTGAAAATGCCAGAAGTATGATGCATCTTACAGATTATTAAAAAACAAACCCTGCATATTTTGTACAGAAAATACCAATCTCTTCCCTTTGTTTACAAGATGTTTTGTATAAGTCTACGTCTCTAATACACTTTTTGTTTGTGAGTACGGTTGTAATGTTTGCATGATATTTGTGCACACTTATTAAGTATTGAAGCTTAATAAATTATTTTGTTCTGGTGCCAAAGGGACCCATCCAGCACTCAGCCGCTGGCTAGCTTTTGTGTGAATTCACATAAATGTGGAAGATGCTGGTATTTGCCAACCTAGGTGTGTCTAAGAATTTAAACTCTTATGGATTTTTATTATTAAAAAAATGAAACATGCACATTAAATCATTAAATTAAATACATTATTCCTTTCATTAAATTAATTACATTATTACTTAAAGTAAATACATTATTATCTTCATGAATGCAGGCAGCCTCAGAGGCAGGGGTTCTCGAAGTACGGGGAAATGTTTTGAAATGTCAAGTCCAACAAAGTGAAGTAGGGAGATTCTATTAAACAATGTCTACTATCTCTATGGAAACTCTGGTGACGTAGTGGTTAAGAGCTACGGCTGCTAACCAAAAGGTTGGCAGTTCAAATCCACCAGGTGCTCCTTGGAAACCCTACGGGGCAGTTCTACTCTGTCCTCTAGGGTCGCTATGAGTCGGAGTCAACTCGATGGCAATGGGTATTATGTCTGTTGTCCCTGGGTGGCACAAATGATTAATGTGTTTGGCTGCTAACCAGAAAGTTAGAGGGTCAAGTCCACCCAGAGGCACCTCAGAAGAAAGACCTGGAGATCTACTTCCAAAAAATTAGCCCTTGAAACCCCTATGGAGCACAGCTCCACGCTGACACACAAGGGGTCATCATGAGTTGGAATCGACTGAAGGGCAACTGGAATTATGTCTATTAAAACATATCCTAAGTTCATCACAGTGCTGTCTGAGGTAGAGATCACTCTTTAACATTTAAGGTGGTGCTGACAGCTGCCTAAGATTTCCAAGGGCCATTTGCTCTTGCTTTTGGTTTTTGTTTTCTTGTTTTTAATACACTATTTTTTAGAGCAGTTTTAAGTTTTCAGAGAAATTGTGCAGAAATTACAAAGAGTTCCCATGTGCTCCCTCTCCTCCCTGTTATTAGCATCTTTCACTGGTGTGGTACATTTGCTACAACTGATGAACCAATATTGATACATTATTATTAACCAAAGTTCAGAGTTTACACTAAGGTTTACTCTGTGTTGTGCAGCCCTGTGGGTTTTGATAAATGCACAGTGTCATGTGTCCATTGCTTGATCATACAGAATAGTTTCACTGTCCTAAAAATACCCTGTGCTCCACCTGTGTTAGGGTGTTGTTTTCTCTCTGGAGTTGCAGCCCCTATTATCAGCTATTGCTGATCATAGCCATGCCACTGATATGGATTTGCGGGCCCACTTACCACTAGTCGTTGAAGAGAACTTTGCCTGTCTGTCATTCCACTCCAGCAAAGGTCATTCAGAAAATGCTCACAAATCTAGGCCGGACTGGCCCAGACTGAAGTTGTTTTTATTTTTTAAGGAAGAGTTTTATTGCTTTCCCTTCATAGTGCCCTGCTTAGCAAAAGCCTCTAAAAAAACCAAACCAGTTGCCATGGAGTCGACCCCGACTCACGACAACCCTGTGTGTGTTAGAGTAGAACTGTGCTGCATACTGTTTTCAGCGGCTCTTCTGAGACACCTCTGGGTGGACTCGAACTGCCAACCTTCAGTTAGCAGCCAAGCATTTAGCCATTTGTACCACCAAGGGACACCCAAAGGTCTTTAGGAAACCTCGGAAATGTGTTTTAATGATGAGGTAAGCATTACCTATGATGTAGCATAAGGGTTTATTGTTTAATTACAGAAGTAGTCAGGACGGAAGTCCGTCGTAAGTAAGTTCTGACGTAAAGTCAAGTAGTACTTGTTTTTATTCTTTAGTTTTCATAGCCTGCTGTCTGGCAGTGTTTTGAACAGTAAATCATAACATTGAACATCTGCGAGTGAACTTCTGAGAATGATAACAGCAGCAAATTATCGACTGCAACATTATATGTAGTACATATTACCAACGTTAAGATGTACCAAAAAAAAGGTCGTAAGCACAGTTCGTGGTAACTCAAATACGTCATAAGTTGGGGACTACTTGTATTTTTAACATAAATTGGTACTTCTGAAGTGCTTGAGACTAACAAATTACTAAATTACTTGGGTTGCTTAAACACCTTGTTTGCATTTTAAGTTTCCTTTCTTCATAGACAGGGCAAAGGCGAGCAAACTCAGACCCTGTCCACACACAGTAACACAGATTCTCATTTAGTAGATTCCCCCTTCGTGAGCCCTCTGCCACCTTAGAAGGGTGAAGTCACACACTCAACCAACTCTTGTGTTAACGGAGTCTCCTGGGGACTACGCCAGCATTCTTACTCTAAATGTCCACCGCGTTCTCGTTCTCGTGGTGGTGGAACAAACACCCCCTCAGCCTTGGCTTCCTCCTCTGAGAAATGCAGTGTGAATGAACGCTATCTCTGTGCTCACCAGACGGAGCTCATCTGTCGCCTCCCCACAAGATAGAAGCCTCCAGCCGGCAAGTTGCTCTTCCTGCCAAGGAAATGTTCAGGATATAGCACTTTCTAGACAATCCTAAATTTCAGGGATGATTTTTGCCCTGACCAGATTCCCAGGACCCTGTCCAGGGCTGATTCTCCGTCAGTCACAGTGAGCACAGGGTCCAAGGCCCACAATACTTTTAGGGGCCCCTAATGGAACCCTGTTTGTGCAGTGGTTAAGAGCCCAGGCTGGTAACCAAAAGGTTAGCAGTTTGAATCCACCAGATGTTCCTTGGAAACTCTATGGAGCAGTTCTACTCTGTCCTGTAGGGTCGCTATGAGTCCGAATCGACTCGACAGCAAAGGGGTTTTTAATGTTTTAATTTCTTTTAAAATCAGAAGAAAAGATGAATATATAATAATGAATCCAGCTTGGATTATATGATCTTTATACCAACACAGTCATAAAATATAAGTTTTCGCCTTTTTTTAATGAAGAAAGGCATCCACAGAGGCAAAAGTGCTCAGGGTCCCCAAAAGTCGAAAGGCAGCCCTGTCCACATCCTCTCCCCATGGAATTTGCCCCAACCTGTCTGTGCTGATTCACGCCACCTCCAGCGCCACCCTCCTCACTCACTCCCACCACACAGTCTGAGGTTCTGCAGAAGCCGTGTAACCTGGTTCTTCCAGACCCCCTGGCC